AACTCTCGTCCTAAGAAAAAAAAGGGAGGTGCTCACATACATAGCATTTTAGGGTTTGTTTGGGGCAGCTGATTAAAAATAATATGTTGATAAGCTAGGTGCGGGAAAAGTCATATTGCTGCCAGAAAGTTACCACCACACCTAGATAGGTGCAGTGTGAAAACACTGCTTTCAGCGTTTTTAAAACGCATAAGCTGTTAAAATGCAGTTTACCCAAAGAGTTCGGGTGTGTTTTCAAAACGCCGCCGCACCAAATAAGTTGCCCCAAACAGACCCTTAAACTTTCATATTTATCAATCTCACATAAAAAACTTTAATAATTGCATATAAAATATTAAAAGTAGCACTCAATGTCATTTTTTAGTAGTTAAATACTTTTTGTTAAGCAATAGGTAAAAATATTGTGTGTAAAAATAAAAATTTGAATGTGAGATCGGTAAATCAATAAAAATTGGGTGCTATGCATGCAATTTTCCTAAAATAAAAAAATAGTATGACAAAATTATGTTAGATTGGGCTTAGATAGGAATGCTATACTGAATTAAATATTAAAAAAATTATAATCATATTATATTTTTTAAACTTTTTTTTCTTACTTTATAATCATATTATATATCTGTATGACCAGATAAAGGCGACTCAAATCTCCTTGTAAGGATATGAAACACGACAAACGAGGTGAACCGATAGCTGAGACGTGTCAGTCGGTCAGAGGAGCCAAATTAGATCATTTAGATAGTCGATACTCAAACCCAAAGGTCGTCAGAAGATACCGATGGGTCACCTGGCCATATGACAAGCAGGCTGACCTCAAGATCTAACAAAGGACATCTGCAGAACCAGTTGAGCGAAAGATATGCATCGCGTAGGGATAAGCGGACCAGAGAACTGTGGTAGGATACTGTTGAAGCCAGACAAGAAGACCACATATCGTCATCGTGTGGTTCATCCGACTAAGTGACGAGCGAATGGAAAGCAAACCGAGCAAGTGAGGAGTCGCCCCATCACCAAAAAGTTCGTTTGTATAATTTATCATGTAAATTATTTTTGTACCTCTTAGTTCTTCTTGTTTAGAAAGATGATATAAGGATAATTGTATATATAGGGCACCTCCCATACCTATAAATAGAGAGCTATTTCAAGAAAAAAAACTCTAGACACTATTCTAGTGTTCATTCTTTTCTTTCACTTATCCTAAATGCTCTCTTTTTTTTGGCATGATTCTCGGACAATTTTGGATTCAACAATATCGTAAGTAAAACATATTTAATGAACGTCTACTTAACATCCAATTTTGATGTACGTATTTAAATATTGAACACCAAAACATTACTTCATATGTTTATATCTGATACACCACCAACAAATTATCATCATCCAACACAAATCTCGAGGCATGACACGAATCTCGAGATGATATTATAAGCAAGAAACATTCAAATTTTAATAAAAAGTCATCCAGAGCTCCGATTTTAGCAAGAAGCAAGAAACATTCAAATCTTAATAAAAAGTCATCCAGAACTTTTTACAAGACACATACCCAAACAGTTGAATCTTTACATGCATATCACTCAAATCGGTAATATTACATCAATAATACCACTATCACCACATGCCCATATCAAGCCATTTAAGAACAATTTGAGGCTTTGGATGGGCACATGAATGGTCATATAGATTCCAAATTCGACAAGCTTATAGTCAAATCGTTCATCTGGACAAGACAAATTCAACGAGCTCAAGATCACTTGATTTTGACATCATTAAGGCACTCAAATGTCCATTAAATGTCGTATGATAGAGGGAAGCTCTTCGGACCGTCCGATCAAAATGATTCATATTCTTGCATCAATTACACCCAGAACACTATAAATAGAGCTACATCCTTCTCATGAGGGGGGAGGAAGTCTAGAGAGAGCCTGAGATCTTCAGGAGAAGTTGCAGCTCAGCATCAACACCAATCGTCGTCAACGACCGCCGACCTCCGTCTTCGACCACCGTCAACCGCCTTTGACCACCGCCGACCTCCGTCGTCGACCGCCGTCGATCACCGACAACCACCGCCGACCATGGTCGATCTCCATCGACTGTCGTCAACCTCCACCAACCGTCATCAATCACCACCAACTAGACGTCGTCAGTCGACATTATAATCTGAAAAATATAGTTACACTTTCCCGTTTGTGGGACAAAAGATTTCTGTAATCATCAATCAATAGTGAATTTCCGCAACTGGGCCAGACCCCGTGGTTTTTCCCTAACACGTAAAAACTTCTGGAGTCATTACCGTTTTTTTCTTTTTCATCTGTGTGTGTGTTGAACTTTCGTGCAACGCTAAGACGATAGTTTATTACTCTACCGCCGCGAGTTTTCTAGCACGCATCAATATGAAATAAAAAAAAAAAACATGATTATTTTAACTTTCAAAAGTAAAATACATGTATAAAATTTGGAGTTTAGATATTAGATATATAAATACTTAGGAATAGAGTGGTATGTATGTAAATCTTTCTATATTTAAATATTTAAAAAAATTAGTGTTTTATATATATTGTATACCAAAAATCAGTTTTTGTGGGCCAAAGCATGTGTCTCAGGTGTCTAGGAGGCCTCATACACCCATCTACTCGGAAGATATTATCATAAAAAATTTGTTGAGCTGACCTGCTGACCTCACTCGTCAATGTGTCAACTATCGAGCTGGTTCGCCAAACTAATCTGTGGAACTCATGTGACAGATTAATCAATCAACTTCTTCTGCCGAGTAATTCGTCTTGCCCGTGATCTTCGTAATTAATGGAAAGCAAAATTCAATACTAACATCTACAATGAACAAATGTCAAATTCTCATTTATGAGCCTCCTGGCATTTGCATTGTGATCTTTTTATTAAGACATGATGGACAGATTTTAGGCATTACATCTCATATTTTATTATTTTCTTAAAAATATGTATAAATAGATAAGCGAGAGATCCAAGAGAATGGAGATATTTATAATAATAATAATAATAATAATAATAATAATAATAATAATCATGATGATGATGATGATTCATTAGAAAATCAATGATGAGTAAGTTTAAGAGATGTGACACTACAATATATATAAAAGTGACATTGTTGTTTAACATGCAAGTTTGTGTTTTTATTCACACATGCAGGTGAGGATAATTAAACCAATTTTGATAGAGAGAGGAATAAATAAATAAATAAATAAATAAAATCAGATAGATATAACTTGTAAGATAGAAGAATTTACATACACACCACCCAATTCTTATATATTGACATATCTAACACCTAAACTTTGCATTTCACATTTTATACCACACAAAACTTTCATATGACATTAAAAATACTGACATTTTAACTTCCATATAAGGAGAAATACATGTGAAAATTAAAGTTTAAGTGCTAATTTTGTAAATAAATATGAATGGAATGATGTGCATGTAAATCTTCATATAAGATGTCATATAATCACCTCTTAATAGTAAGAATCAACCAAAATCAAATAAGATAAGCACAACACTGTAAAAAAAAAATCACAAAATCATCATAATTGCATCATCAGATGGGCTTACCATCAATTTTAGCATTTGTTGATACTAAGGAAAAAAAAAAAAGGTGAAATCTATATCTTATAAGTTGATTGCATAAAACTATATATATATATATATATATATATATATATTGTATTAAAATTTTGCACACAAATACATAAGGGAGAAGAATATACAATACACTAAAATACTTTTAAGTAAAAAATTAAGAAATGATAAAAGTCATGAGGCCTAACTGAGAAAAATAATATTTTTATATTACTTTCGATTATAAAGGGCTCCTCTTTTTTTATCTTGGAGACGACATGATTACAAAACAATGAACTGAGTTATAATTTTTGCTTCCACGATTGTAATGGAAGTAGTGATGATGAATACGATAGTCAGATGATGCTGGTTGGACAACAACGATGAGAAACATATAACAGAGATCTGATAGTGATGATAAGTAACTATTTAATGATGGTAATCAGATAATAGTAATCATACCACAATGATTAAATAACGGTCATTAACTAATGAAAATCTCTCTTCACTCCTTGGTGCTAATTGTAAGTAGAGCTTAGAGTTCTCATTACTACAAACTTTCACAAAATTTAAATTAATGTCTCTTTTATTTGGAGAAAGGGAAGATTTGTAATATGATAATTTTAGCCAAAGTCTCGAAACACTCCTTTGGATAGCTTATATTGATTATTTTGATAAGAAATACTTCCTTCAAAAGTTAAATCTTTTAATAATTTCAAGATTTAAATGATCTAATGGCTCGTTAGACGACCAATTTGATAATAAGCACGCAAGTTTTGGAGGTATTTGAACCTTCGAGTAATGCCTTGGAAGTTTTTAATAATGCTGCAAGCATCTGATTGTAACTCGTTTGAACTCGGATTAGATCACTTCTGGTATTATCGTTATCTTCCCTTCATGAAGTTTAGTTTGCCTGAACATTGGCTGATATGAAGGCTCTAACAATCTTGAATTTGACTAGAACTTATTGCATTCAAAATATATTAAAATTTATGCCTAATTAAGTTGAATTTTATTATGATCCTTTTTTTTTGCGATAAAAGTCAAGAATTTCTATGACACAATTCACTTCTCCCTTTTTAATTTTTATTATCAGCAAATTGACATATGTCTTGTATTAGTGTTTGCCATATAGCTCTTGATATTATATGAAAGGAAAATTTACACATTTAGCATATATATTGTATATATTTACATACCTCGCATTTATATTTATATACATAGCACTTTAGGGTCTTAAATTAATCATTAATATTTAAGATTTTGGTGCTCTGTCCTAAATATGAATGTTTTGGTGTCTGAACAACAAATATATAAGACTTGTGTGCTAGATAGATAAATATGCCTCACTTGCGGGCCATATCTAATAGGCCCCACATCCACGACATCGCCAGGCAGCCCGGCCCGGCCCACTAGTTGCCACAAGAAAGGCTATACATCGTCTTTCGAATTGCTTTTAAGCCTGCAAGGTCGGACCCCCACCCACCCTCTCTGCAACTTCCTTCCCGACATCTCTGCTTCCCTCACCGGCAGCTAACCGATGCGACGATCTTTCGAGTTTGCCGGAAGCTATTACCGTTCCACGCCGGAGATGTCTAGGGCATCAAACGGCGATCCCGGGCCAACTGAAACAAGAGAGAGGATCAATGAGCTGGAGCTGGGTCTGAGTCTCGGCGGTGGAGTAAGAAGGATTATTACGGCCGAGGATTTCACCTCAATGAAATCAGGTGATTCCCCCATGTCGTCCAATTCCTCTGTTTCTTCTTCTTCCAGCGGTTTGGGAGATGAAGGGGATGAAGGCGATGGTGGAGGGAGCTGTAGGAGAGCGGATGAGATCGGTTGTAACGGGGATCGATCGGCCAACTTGGCGAGGTGATTTGGGTTTCTTAACTTTCTATTTAGTGCTTTTTTTCTAGGTTTTTGTTATGGGTTTGTGAAACTTGATGTGAGAAGTATTGTGGTTTTGTTGCTCAGTTTGAATTTGATTCGTGGCTTATTTGCTTGTTTTAATTGATTCACGTGTCTGTTAGTGTTGATTTTTTTTTTTTTTATATATTTCGTTTGTTTCATTGATTATCTATTATGATTGTATTAAACATGTTTTCTTACATCTCTAAATAATAGTTTTGTATATAAAAATAAAAAGGGGAATTCGCATATGCATATTGACTCAAAAATTTTTCCTTCTGTAGTTTTTTGCTGGGGCTGGATGCGAATTATTTCTGCTAGATATAGTAAATTCCAAATACTTGATTAATTAATTAATTAATTAAATGATTAAAAAATAATGCTCACGAGCTATGATCATTTTAAATTAGAGAGCCTTGTTTTAAGTACATGCTTGTGAACCAATGCATTGCTTTTTTTATATATAATGTCTTATAACAAGGATATATAAACAATACTGTCGTTCAAATAATTTTCTAGCAAGCAATTATGTTTTACCCTCTCCTCTGTGTTTAAAAGCGCCTTCTTGATCATCTTGTTTATACTGGAGAAACATTTGTTGGCCACTCTGTTTTTAGCAAAATGACTTTGTTCTTCATGATTCAATTCCTTTTCTTATAAATCATTGATAAAGTGGTAACTTGATGCTTTTTCAAATGTGTGTCTGCTATTATTGAAACACTGTTGATCAAGTGCTCATTTTTGTTTGAGATAATTAATACTTCTGTTCATTGCTAGGGTTGTATTGAAAGAAAAAGAAGTATAGCTAGTTTCTTTGGGATTTAGAAACGGCTTGAAGCTGCTTTGGGGTAAGGAAAAAAACAGCTAGGAAAAAAAGCAAGAGATTTTTTAATTAAAAAAATTAACGAATTTTCCCACAATTTTCTTATACAAGCCGTTGTTCACACAAGCATTCACATTTGCATGCACAGTTGAACACTTTCTAAGTCGAAGCTATAGATTGGATTAGACCCTTTAAACTGTATGTTTGTATTATCAGAAGTTTTAATGTAGGTCGGCTTCTAAAAGGCCCACGAGCTTAAGGATCATCCCTCCACAAGTTTTAGGATGATAGAGCATCATGGGATTTTGAATATGGTAGTTTACTTTCCTAACTATTTTGCTTAGGGGATTGAACTTTTTCATTGATGTAATGCTCCTGTGATTAATTTTTTTCTAAACATCAATGCTAAAAACACTCTCAATTAACGATACCACATGTAGTCTAAATGGTGATTAGGATGTTGGTTTATAATAGAGGGATAAATAGTCAACTTATTCAAATTCCTATGGTTCTGTCATATTAAGTTGATTTGGTGAACTTACCCTTCGAATGATAGAACGCCTAATGTAGATCAAAGTCGGTATGTTTTTAATGCTATGAAACATCCTTTGAGGTTGTATTCCACATTGAATATTTGACTTGATGGGGATTTTTGAGGTATGTCATTTATTATTAAGGAAATTAAACAACTTAGTAGGGAAAATTGTATTGTATAAATTAGGTTGCTTCAAGAATGGAACCCACCCTAAGTTAGCTTGAGTTTTGGTTTGTGGCTTAGGAAACACAAAGAAATATGTTAAGCATAGGGGTGGAATGATGTCTGCCTTGATGTGTACATGGGTTCACTTAAACAAGAAACTCCTAGAGTCATGCTGCAAGGCTTAAATTTGTAGGAAATTATTACAAAAAGTTTATTTGATAAAATTGAGCTCACTACTTTAAGTGCAGAGTGGCCCAAAGGTTAGAGTTTATTATTCTAATCTTTTGGTGATCTACAAGTGGGAATTAGAACCTCGGGAATGAAAAATGCTCGACTAACAATTCTAATTTTGGAGAAAACTTGAAAAAAGGGTGATTTCTTGATATATTTGTTAGCTATGTCAAAAGAGTTTGATTGATTGGGACTTTCATCAACATAAATGCCTAAAGATAAACTTAAAACCTTAATAGTTTGGTACCTTAAATATGATGCTTATAACCTTGGAGATGGGGTATATTGGGACTTTATGAGTGGATCTTATAGTTCTAATATTGGAATGACCCGACAATGATGGTGTCATTCTATTAGTGAGGCTTAGAAGAGTAGTTTGTTTTTTATAATTTTACGATTTAATAGCCACAATAAGGTTGTGTTTGTGTTTATGGAACCTGTGGGACTATGATCAAATTTAATAATGCCAAAGGCCTTACAACCCTAGAGTGCACGGAAGTCAGAAAGAGATTAAAATCAATCTAACTAATATCGTCTTGAGATTGTATGCAAATGATTGTGTCAAATATCTTAACAAATTTGAGCAAGCTAGAGGATCCATACCCTCCATTAGATATAGAGCACTCCTTCAAATATTGTGAAAATTATGAGATTTTAGTTTCATTAATATGATTGTACTTTTACTTAGTTGCGGGTTTCACCGGAACATATTAGAAGTAACATACTCTTAATTGACCAATTGAGGTCTCCCCTTATTTTTCTATTTTTTTTTAATGTTTCAAGTGATTTAAAAGAGTCATTAAAGTTTTATAATTTTTTGTTTAAGGTGTGTGCATAAATGCATAGTGCGGCATAAATTTAAACAATAGGTTGATAAACAGATTCATGGTGTTTAGTGGAACATGGTGAGTATCAGTGACAAATTCAATAATTTAATAAAATTCAAGAAAAAAAAAATCTAAATTTCATGTGCTTTGATACATTTGTTATATGACAAAATAATGAACGCAAAACTTTAATGCATTGATTTTAAATTTAATTGTTGTGATTTTGACACTATTATAAAGAATAGAAACTTATGATCACATCTATATAGAATTTGTAATTCTCTTACATTCAATTATCTTTAAGCGATTTTTCAAATTTAAAAATTATTTTTTAATTATTACTGCTATACTCCCGCAAAAAATCTACGTAAAAAATCATTGAACTGAACTTTATCGGTGGACTAATCATGATTGGGAGAGTCTCGTCCACTAGCTTTAGTTTTTTATAGTTTTTTAGGGAGTATGATATTGCTCTTTTTTAGAGGAGTTATTATATCATTTTGTATATTGACTTCATCAGCGACATGTGCGTTATTAGGGTCGTTCATTTCAAATCAATTGTCTAGGAGTAAAGAGACAATCATGAGCGGACTGGACTTTGGAGAGGAAAATTATAGTGTGTTGTCCATTTATAATTAAAATTATCATTTTTGCATGATGATATATAAAGATTATCATTTGGCATGATGATATATAAAGGTGAAAAAAAGAGTTGTGGGCAGATTTTTTGTTTTTTGGTCCAACCGAATTTTCAATCTTCTGATCTCTTTTGGGATTAATTCTACATCAAGATTTGAAGATGCTATATGGTAAATGAAAGCAAGGTGGGTGGTTTGACTGTTATCCAGCACACTTGGGGTTGTGGGATTGTAGATATGACTACCTAAGCTAATATGAGTTATTTTAGCCTTATACAAGCCAAACAAATCCTAAAATAGCTCAATTTAGATTGAGAGATCTCAACCCAATGGTCCAAAGACCTTATGAAAATCATGAGGACAAAAAGTAGTTCATTTTTAGTTATTGTCATTTTGGAGCTATCATGTATTTTTTTAATCTAGGTTTTTCATGATTTTCATTTTGTAGAATTCCTTAATGTCCATTTTGTGTTGCTCGTCTTCGACTTCATTTTCATATGGACAATATAGTGTTAATAATGAAGACCTTTAAAAAAGTTTTGTTGTCGTAGCCTGGTTGCAGGAGGCATCCATAAAATAGCGGGCCTTCACAATTTAGATGCTATTAATGGATTTTGATAAATAAAAATACAATTTGATACTATTTTCAGTTGGTACAAAGACCCCTTTTTTTTAACTTATCCCCGTACTCATATTTGTTAGGCTTTGATCTGAAGTCCTTACGGGTTGGAGACAAAGTTCTCAGCCGTCATAAGGCCAAGCGGACTAGCTGCTTGACACAAAGACTCGAAACAAATACGGAGTCATGGAGATGATATCTCCAAACATGAAGGCTCAATGTGAGTCTTTGTGAAGTTGTATGCATCATGGAAGCCTAAGGTGGTATCTTATGGTCTTCAAATGAAGGAGAAGAACAAAAAAAGAAAGGCATTAGTGCTTCTATGATGCCACCATGAGAGTCGAACACTTGGGGATGGAGGCCCAAGGTGATCGTCTACGATCACTTGGGTGGAGAAGACAATGTGAAAATTTCTATTGTGCTGCTATAAGTTGGATTGGTAGTTTAATCATGGAAACGGATCAGAAATTATATGAAATTTAGTGCATGAGAATATCTAATTAAAATTTATCATTATTTCCAAATTCATGATTGTGTTTTCCATTGTTATCACTAAATAACACGGGCTCTCTGTAATCATTTAATTCTCTCAGTAGTTCTTCTTTGGTTTTTTTTTTATTTGAACTTCAATGTTTATTATTAAGCCATTTATCTCTTTTTTTTATTATTCATGGCATGCTAGAAAGATTTATGTTTTGTGCCTTGGCGTGTGCTATTTGTAGTTATAGTTCTTATACTTGAAACATTTTATGATGTAAACGAGAGGTTAGATAAATGGAGAATTTTCTTAAGATAAAGGGGTTGGAATCAATAGAATAAAGATTAACCATATGATATACATTTTTGGAGGATATACTGTTGATGATTATTAGCTCTAAGACAAGTATGATACGTTTAAATAAGTTAGATCAATTAAACAAGAAAAAATGAATATCAAGGGCCTAATATTAGTGTTATGTGGTATAAAGGAGTGTCTTAGTAGTTCAATGTTATAAGAAAATATCATTAAGACTTTAAGATAAATTTTTATTGAACGACAACTAGATTAGTTATGATTCATGGAATCGAGCGTTGGGCAATAAAGAAACATTAATGAAATGAATCAAGTTGGGTCTGAGAAAATATGATAGTATTAAATTTGATGCGTCGTATTTATAGAAAGGATGAATTAGAAGTGTCCATGTTCGGGATTTGGTGGAAATTTGATGCGTCGTATTTATAGAAACGATGAATTAGAAGTGTCCATGTTCGGGATTTGGTGGGAGTAGCATATGCTGACAAAAAAATAGCTGAAAATAGACCTAAATTTTGTGAATGTTTGGCAAGTGATTAATCATAAATAAAGCCAATAAGTTGGGCGGATAGAACCAATATGGAAGGGATTAGATTGGAAAAGAGGTTAAATCAACTCATGTATAAAAGTTATGAAAAAAATTCACAAAATAAATTTGGCATCTCTTATATCACTCAATGAAGAACTAATGGAAAAGGACAGTTGCGATTTGTTTGAAGATGATGTTTTCATATTAATGTTCTTCCTGTTATCTTATACTGAACCATCAAACAGTCTGCGTGCAAGCATTCATGCTAACATGCACTCTAAACTTCTTAATTACTATTCTTCACTCCATTCATTTTAAAATTTCTTTCTTATGTTGTTATACTGCGAAAAGGAAAATAAAAGGGACATTTACATAAGTACCACCCAATTCATCTTTATTTACATATCTAACATCTAAACTATACCTTTTACATTTATACCATCCAAATCTTTCATATCACATAAGAAACCACTATTTCAACTTTTAAAAAGTGAAATTTACCTTTTCATGCATAGGTAAGGTGGCTTAACTTAAAAATTGAGGTTTACGTGTTAGATATGTAAATACATAGGAATAAAGCGGCATTTATGCTAATCATCCAAAATAAAATTGCATGGATATGCTCTCTTGCATACATACAGCATGTGCTTGCCCATGTGTACCGACAAGTGATGTACTATAGATATTTGATCTCTCTGATGTTTGTTTTTTGCACCTCGATTTTCTCTGCAGCCATGGTCAAGTAGTGGGATGGCCTCCTGTCAGAACATGCAGAAGGAACAATTTGGTTAATGTATCAAGAGTTGCTAATTCTTATGTAAAACCATCCACTCACGGTGAAATTTCTCAAAGTTGCAGCAGCAACGATGGTAAGAACGATGTTGGTGGTAGTGATCGTAAAAGGAAAGCCATTCCTATTTGGAAATCTCACTTTGTTAAGGTGACCATGGATGGAGATCCCATAGGAAGGAAAGTGGATCTTCGTGCCTATGTGTCTTATGAAGATCTTGCTTTAGCTCTTGAGGCCATGTTTTGCAAGCCCGGTTTGTCGCTCAATGTTTCTCGTTTTCGCAAGTCCGCATTGTCGCTTAATGCTTCTCGTAGTGAGTTCATCTCTTCTATGTTGCTTTCGTATGTGCTTTCTTCCATTTGATGCACGATAAAAAATTAGACAATTAACATACATAGCGCACAAGTCTTATCTATTTACATCTCTGTCACCTAAACTTTTCATATTTACATACATAGGACATTGGTGCTTTAGACCTATGCATGATAGGTTGTATTTTTTTTAAAGCAATAATAATGCTATTTTTTATGTGATATTAATGATTTGAAATATATGTGTGTAAATATGATAGTTTAGGTGTGATATATGTAAGTACATTAGAATAGTGTGATAGGTATGTTATTGCCCCTAAAATTTATACTTTTTGATGTTGACAGATGGAATGTTCTCCAAATTGTTGGATGGTTCTTCTGAGTTTGCTCTTATATACGAAGACGAGGATGGCGATTGGTTGCTAGTTGGAGATGTTCCCTGGGGGTATGCAACTTTTTATTCCGTAGGATATGTATGTGATGCTTTAAATACTGCTAAATACACTGCAATTACTTGTAAAATTTTGAAAATCTGACCAAACATTGAACTGGAAAGAGAGCTTCAAAGTTCATAGTTTCAATTAGTGTGAATACGACAGTAAATTTTAAATTTATTTTAATATACTTTAAATAATATTATAGCAACACAATAATAATATTTTATCAAATTTAATATACTATATTCTAATTCAGGACATTTTTACTCTTGAATATTTTGAATATGATTCTAAATCAAAATTTTGGGAAACAGTATCTTGATTATTTTATTAAACTTTAATCTAAATTTTTTTGTTTCTAGTTATCTGATCCAAATAAAGAAGCCACAAAATAATAACACACAAAATAAATACTAATTAGACTGAATGATTTTTTAAAAATTGAATTGGTTCACCATTTCAATCATCTCTTCTAACCGGTTATTCATAAAATGGTTTGGGGTTGGGACCGAACTGGCCGGAGGAATGGTTCACAATTGAATCAGACAAATCGGCCAGCCTGATCTGATTTTTAAACCTATGTTTGCTTGAACCAAACAATGTTCTATGTAGTTTTCTCTTCTACTTCAAATTTGTGTCTTTTGAAGGTGAAATTTGCTAATGTCATAACACAACTATCAGTAAAACTTCATGATAATCACCCCCGAGATGTATGTTTAAACTGAAGATATCCGGTTTTTTTGCTTCTGATATTTGATCTGTATGCTATCATATGGTGTGCTGATACCTTGATTTAGTCTGTAGTCTTTCTTTTTAGTCTTGAAGTAATTTCGATAGGATTTATATTAATAAATGAAAATGTTTTTTTCATGTAAATTCAATGTCTTTACTTTTAACATTTATTTATCTTTTTAGAATGTTCTTGCGCACTGCCAGGCGGCTTAGAATTATGAAGACAATGGATTCCTTTGGCATTGGTATGTACATCTGTCGTTGAACTTTGAAATCTACATTTATAAAACTAAACCGTGTGTATTGAAATTTTTCTTATCTGGCACATTTAAACTTTTTCTTATTTACAATATACTACTTTCCTTGCATATCCTTTTAATTAATAGAAGATTTACATACATACCTCACAATTCCTATTTATTTACATATCTAGCACCTATACTTCAATTTTTTACATACATACCACCTTACCTATGCTTGAAAAAGGAGCATTTCACTTTTTAAAAGTTAAAATGGTGTCATTTTTTATGTAATATGAAAAATTTGAGTGGTATTGATGTAAAATGCAAAATTTAGGTGTTATTACATGTAAATATACAGGAATTGGGTGGTATGAATGTATATGCCCCTTAATTAGTTTTTTTCTTTACCGACTTGTGTGTGCATCCACCCGTCATTCTTCGTGGCCAACAAGACAATAATTTGTTCTTCAGCCCGCTGCACCGTTGGGCACGATGAGCCACTCTGCACATCCGAGCCTCGACCGGCACCCCCATTGGGGGTTGTACTTGTCATGGAGCGACTCGGTGCTTGACGCCCAGACAGACGTGCCCTCGATTGATTGGCCTCTGCCTCAACTTGCTTTCAAAGAATCGATGGTTTTCGTGATTATGAAATTTACACCACGAATCACATTTTACTATGCTCTTGATTGACCATCTAATGATCCGCTAGGAGAGTAAATGTCTTAGTTTCGACTTATGTTAAGAAATGTAGAGGTAGACCTCAAAAGACTTGTGCATATTATATATAAAAGATCTTAATTTATCAAAATAAAATGAAATCACGACACTTAATAAGGCATAATGGATTCATATAGCAGAGATGAAGACTCGTTGTTTTTGTTATTGTTGGACTTATTTGTGCATGATGACAACTCAAAGAATGTTTAAGAAATGTTTTTATTGTTTCAGATAGATTTTAGAGCTTAATGATTCTCTTTCTTTCTTTCTTTTTTCCTTGGTTTGCCCTCCATTAGAATCAATTTTTAGAACAGCTAATTAAGCTTCATATAGGATAGAGTTGAATGGATTAGATTATTTTCTGATGTTCATATTCGTACAACATATTTAAACCTGCAGATGAATCAGTTAAATGCAGAGCCCAAGCTATTTCAACCGATGCTCTCTAGCGTTCCATTTTGAGAATTGCAGTTTCAACCATTGGTGAGAATTGCAATTTTTTCCTTTTTGGTTTCAGTTGATCATTGTAAAATTTTCATCGTTACAGGATTCTTAGAAAATGTGAGCTGTGTGTGTGACTCTTATTTCATTTTTCTAAGGTGCGATTGATCTGCTATTTTTCACTTTCTGTTGCAATTTTTTGTTTTTGTCTTTTTTTTTTTTTTCAGTTTCATATATTTTTATGAGTGTAAATAAGTGATTTTTCTTTTGAAGATAATATTAATGATGCT